TTGAGGAACTTGTAGTAGGGCTGGCTGCAGTCTCCTGGGGAAGGAGAGCACCCTTGGGAAGTGAAGTGCTCCCATGGTGTGTCCCCACATAGAGTCAGGACTTAATAAAGGCTTTGTGTAGCACCATTGTCTGAATTACAGTAGAGGAAGCTGCTTTGCCTCTGTGGTAGTGCTTGATTCTGGTGTATAAGTTCACCAGCTTTCTAACCTGAGAGCTGGCAGAGTTGCAGTAGTTTGTATTTCCTAAAGAATAACTTGAGCAGTTCAGATTCATTTCCTGTAGAGAATGCTTGGTGGTACCCCTGGTGCTGCCTGAAGCACCCTCCTGTCTCGCTTCCAATCTTGCACTTCTTTAAGTCTTGATCCTCAGGCTTCTTCTGGGATGAGGAAAGCCCAGAAAGCCCAGCTGCTTCTCTTCTCTGAAGTGGCTGGAGCTGCTGAAAATGCAACTTGGGAGGACAGTTTGTCTTCAGAGTTTATTTTTGCAGACTGCTGTGCACATTGTATGTTTTTGGCCACCTCCCCAAAGGGATCTGCTCTGGCCTCAGGGCTGTCACTGGTTGAGGCTAGCTGGAGATGAGTCTTTTGCAGAGGGAGGTTTTGTGCCCTTGTTGAAGCTGGGTGCAGCCCAGGAACGTTTCCCAGGCCTGACAGAGGTGCGGTGTAAGTGCAAGGATGTGAGTCATGTTGCTCCTCCTGGTTTGAGTGTGGAGTTTGGAAGGAGGCTTTGCTTAACCAGGGGAGCTGAAAGGATCAGGAACACAGATCCCATTTTAAATAGGATGCCTCTCTCAGTGGGGGAAGAAGGAAAGCTCGCATGCTGATGTAATGATAAAACCCAATCAAAAATAATGTTGCTTGTTTTGGAACATAAAAAGCAAATGCTGTATCCATGGTGAAAGCTGTCCTGTCCCAGAAGATGACGGGCTGTCATCTTCTCTTCAGTGCTGTTTTCAGAGCGTCCTCAGGATGGCAGGACTTGGGCTGGGTAAAAGCCACTGCACCAAGCAGTCTGTGGGAGCTTCTCTGAGAGTAAGGGAGCAAAGAGGCTGAATATCAGCCCCTTACTGCTGGCCTTGCCACCTCAGGTCCAGATCCCACCAGTCCCATGTACCCTGGTTCTGGAGTAGTGGAGGTGGAGGTCACCTCACTGGGAGCTCAGCCTCTGGGCAGGGTGAGGACAGCCATGGAGCGCTGCTGCAGCCAGTACCTCATTGCTGGGGACATTTGGCTGACATTCTTTCTGGCACCCTTAACGTTCTGCATGGGCATCTGGCAGGTCACATCACAATTGTGTTTTCACTGGGAGCTGGGGAGAAATGCTGCAGTGGTTTGCTAGCCCCCAGGCCCTTTCAGTGAAAAAGGGTAGCAGGCAATTTACAAGTGATGCTGTGCTATATTAAACAAGCAAATGAAAAAAACCAACAGCCAGAAAACCCACTCAGCCTTCTGTGTTTGGATGCAAACTTTGAATTTCTTCAGGGGACTTATTCTGCTCCCGTAGGCGTTTGCTCATTTTTGCTGCTGTTAACCAACTGGGGCTGAAATTAACACATCTGTTGTTGTTTAACTTCAATTTATACTGTACCCAAAATATTTGCCAAAATATTATGTTTTGAACAGCAATAGCTTCACTGTTACTTATCACCCGAGTTCTGGGAATGCTGCATAATGCTATCTGCTGATTTTTAATAGCTCTTACCAGAAGGGGACTTGGTGCTTCACTGCTGCTTTGTGAGGAGGGAACAGATGCCAGTGTTGCAGAACTCTCTGTTACAGTGCAGCGTAGCACAGGTGCAGATTTATGTCTGATATTTTTGCTCACAACTGAGTCCTTGAAGCTGCATGATTGCCTGGAACTGTTTAAAAATGCCTGCAAAGGGCCATGTTTGCACATTCTTCATTGTGCTGTCCAAAGTGAGACCCTGGAAGAAGCCTTTAGCCTAGCCCCATACCTATGCTGGGCTTGTTTCTGAATGCCTGGAAATGATAAATTTGGATTGTATGTGTTTCGGGGCTGTATATGCTTTTCGTGTAAAGACTGAGACAGCAGTCCTTTAAAAACAACAACAACAAAAACCTAAAAGCCCAACCCATAACTATTTAGAAGTGAAATTTTGTGGAAGTAACTGTGACGTGCAGGCAGAATCTTGAGGGTCACCAGGGATAGTATAAAACTCTTGCTGCAGTGGACAAAAATATGTTGCTGTTTTTCAATCTGCTTATGTTTAAGGTGATCGGAGGGAAGGAAAACACATCCTCATTAAAAGGAATAATTATCAAGCTTGCAATGTGTAAACTTACCTCAGCTAAGGTAGGTGGCTTTGATAATCCTTTTTTCCCCATGAACAAAGTTTCAAAGACAGCATTTGTTAAATTACATGTAGAATGGGCTGGAGGGAGATGGGGACCTGAGCACTTCTGATTTAATGGAAAAATAATTCAAATGGATCTGCAGTCTGGCTCTGATTTCAGAGGTACTTGCAATCTAAATAAAAATAAAGACTACCTGGGGACAGCCTGCACTGTTAATTAACTAACCAAATGCTGCCTCCCGGCTAAGAGCAGCTCTCCAGGGATTTTCCACCAGCTTTGGCACTTGGTGCTGTGACTGGAATTTGCCAAATACCACTTGGCAACTTCCAGCGCCAAAAAAAAAAGAAAAGCAAAAGGCACCCTTGTGATGGGTGAGGAAGGATGCTTGGAATGAAAACGTGTGTAATATGCAGCGCTGTTCCTGCACAGCACTGGGCTTGATGCAGACTAGCTGTGCCCTACACACGATTGGAAGAGGGAGTGCCCTCCCTGGGGTGGGGACTGATGAGCTGGTCTGGTTCCTGTACCTTCCCAGGTTGGAGCTGAATGCCTTGTGGCACAAGGAGGCTAGAACCTCGGTGGTGCAAACAGGCAGCTCTTTCCAGACAGCTGCAAAGCCCTGGGGCTTTGCAGCTCTGCTGCCCATCCCTGCATAACCCCACATTGCTGTGGCTGCAGGCACTCGGTCCTCAGTCCTCCTGCTGGCGAAGAGTTTGGGCTCTTGCCAAGAAAACAGCTTTTGTGTTTCCTTAAATGTTCTGCTGCTGTTTAGGGAGAAAAAAATAAATATTAAAATTGATGTTATTACTAGAATTGGCCAGCTGGCTGAAATTTTTTTCACTAACAAATCCCACTTGGCACTGTTTTTCTAATGAAGTAATGAGCATGTTTTCAGACAAGGGGACGTGTCACTACAGCACCGCTGCTTTCCAAAGCTGGCAGTGCTCAAACAGCCAGGGTCTGCACAAAGTACAGGGAGAAAGAAGCTTCCAGTCCCAGCGGCCACTCACACACTGCTGGGATGCAGTTTTGCTGTTCACATTTTGACCTCCTTGATCCGTCCTTGCTTCCTTGGCAGTGAAATCGTAGGGATTTGCAGTGCTGGATGGGGATAGCGGGATGTTGGCTGTGGTGGCTGTGCAGCTACAGCAGGAGGCAGATGCTATGTGCACATCTTGGTCTGGATCTTTGCTGCTATATACAGCACTAATCCTGGCTGGAGCAGAAGTCAGACGCATGAAGGCAGGTAGCCTTCAGGGAAGGCAAGCAGCAGGCTGCTGGCACTCAGCTGTCCTTTGGCTGCAGAGGGGCCTCTGGGGGCTACAGCCCAAGGTTTAGACAACTTGGTGGGGAGACTCGAAGGAGTCCCAGAGCCCACTAAATCACAGGGAAGGGGGCAGCTGATGGCAGCTTATCTAAGTCAGTTGTTTTAGGTATGGTTTTATTTCTTACTTCTTAGGTACATTAATTGCACTAACATTGTTTTGTGGGACAAGAGGCAATGAAAACAACAGCTGGATTCGCTGTGTCCTTTGGAAACTCAAACTCAACTTGTTTTTGTTACCCTTCTGAAATGGTCTCCCCACCCCATCAGGCTGCTTCTGATCTTCCTGCATTGAGTCGTTAAGTGTTGATTCAGCTTTTATTTAAATCATTGTGCAAGATTTGAAGCTTCAGAAAAGTCATCAGTGAAATGTTTTCAGAGTTCTATTGAATTCATTTATCCAATTTCTTTGAATTTTCTTTGAAGGGTATTTTTTTTTTTCTCCTTTTCAGGCTTGAGAATAGCCAAAGCTGAGAGAAGCAGTATTTGAGGAGCTTATTCCTCTACTAGCATTCCTGTAGCAGTATTTACGGGATGCTTCAGGAGAAAAGTTGACTAAACATTTATTTTTAAACACTAAAGATAAGATAAAATTTTATAGTATCTGCAATGCATCTCCAGTAAAAACTTCTTTTTTTTTTCCCCTTGGTATTGGAAATCAGTGAGCAGCAGCTGTTTTAGAGATACTGAAATTAGTATGGAGTGTGTGTGAGCCTTTTTCTCATCCACAGACCTGTGCTTTTCAGGCTGTTCCCAGTCCTGCTGCCTTCCACATGCTGTCTGGGCAGATATGGAGGATGGGCTGCTGCTCACAGTAGCCACGTCAGGAAGCCATTCCTTCAGTCCTCATGTGCCCACAGTGTGTTACTCATCTTTATGGTTCTATTGATCTGCACATTTTCAGACTGAAACTAGCTTCTTTGCTTCTACTTCTGGTAACTGTAGGCTCTCCAAGTCTGTCCTCACTGGTTTATTGAGTTTATCTTGGTTTGGCAATCATGCAGTCCTGCTGCTCATGCAGTCTCAACAAGGAAATAATGCCTAACTGAGATCTGTGGCAACTCATCTCACTGCGTTGACACCTGGGGAGTGATCAGAAGTCATGGCTAGCTTTCAGGAGATGTCAGCTGCTCAGGCCTGGTTACTGTGAGAATGCAGACAAGAAGAGGGAGAGTTCTCTTGAGAAGCCTTTCTCAAAGATAACTAGCTGGCCTAAGGAAACAGTGCCTGTGCTGCTGCTTCTGCTAATCTGTCTTTATGATGAGCCCAACAGAGAACTGGTGTACAGAACCAGTCCTCATCTCACTCACATCTCCCTTTTTCTCTAGGTTTGGAAGAAAAAACACTTCTATCAAAAAAAGAAAAAATGAAGCTGAGGAAAGAAAGATGGCTACAGAGTAAGTACCCAAAGCATTGCTGTATGGGGGGCACCTCGAGGTGACTGCTGGATTCCTCTGTCTGCAGGTGAAAGTGTTGGGCTGTGGCAGGACAACAGATTGGCCAGGGGGGCTGAATGCTTCTCAAAAGTCTTCAAGCCTGCTCCTCAGCAAATGGGGAAAAAAGTCCCTGGTGTTTTTTTTTCTTGAATTCAAAGGGCATTTAACACTAAGGTTGACTCTTTACCCCAGCCTGTTTTTGTTATTCCTCCACGTGCATTGTGACTACTTAAAACCCTTCATTAATCCAAGAAAGATGTTGTACCAGTGTAGGTCTGAAAAGGTTTCTTTGAACCTTTTCAAGCTCCTGTACAGTTATGACCAGCTGTGCAGTCATGGGCTAATAGCATCCTGTGGATGCTGGACAGCCTGGAGCTGAGCCCCACCGGCTATTCCCAGGCCTCTGAGAAAAGTAGTGGAGCTCTGCAGTGGGACCTTCTGCTTTTCCACAAAGGATGTCTCTGGAAACTGCTGGCTGTGTTACTGCCCCACATGCCCCAGTGAACCTACTCACCAGACTGACTTGCACTTCTAGAGGCTATGAAATAAGAACCAAACAAACCCAGCCCATGGTAGAAATGTTGCTGTTTGTTATGGGAAGAGTGTCTGTGTTTTTGCTGCAACTTTCTTGGCAAGATGTACAGACTCCAATTAGTTATCTGCAATGTGCTTGATGTCCTGAGTAATCTTTAAAGTTCAAGTCTAAAGTGTTTAGACTTGTGCTTTCTCTGTGCAGCTCTGAGTGAGACTCACTTGCAGATGCTAATGTGAGTCAAGTCAAGGAGCCTCATCCTGCAAGGCAATTAGAGATGGTCTTGTATGGAGACCTTTCCAGAGGTGTACAAGAGGCTTGCTGTTGCTTCCTCGTGGAGCAGGGAACATCATCCCCAACCTGAGGATAAGGAAAAGGCAGAAAAAGGCAGAAAAGGCAGAGGTTCTGAATGCCTTCTTTACGTCTGTCTTTAAAAGTCAGACCAGTTATCCTCAGGATACTCCTCTCTCTGACCTGGTAATCTCGGCTGGGGAGCACACTAACCCCCCTGTGATTCTGAAAGAAACAGTCAGAGACCTACTGCTCCAACTGGACTGTCACAAGTCGATGGGGCCAGATGAGATCCACCCAAGAGTGCTGAGGGAACTGGCGGAGGTGATAGCCGAGCCGCTTTCCATCATCTGTCAGCGCTCCTTGTTGACTGGTGAGGTCCCAGAAGACTGGAGGCTTGCCAATGTGACTCCCATTTACAAGAAAGGTCGTAAGGAGGATCCGGGAAACTACAGGCCTGTCAGCCTGACCTTGGTGCCAGGGAAGGTTATGGAGCAGATTGTCTTGAGGGAGATCATGTGGCATGTGCGGGGTGACTGGGGGATCAGGCCTAGCCAGCATGGGTTCGTGAAGGGCAGGTCCTGTTTGACCAACCTGATCTCCTTCTATGATCTAGTGACCCATCTGGTGGATGAGGGAAAGGCTGTTGATGTGGTCTACCTAGACTTCAGCAAAGTCTTTGACACTGTCTCCCACAGTATTCTCCTGCAGAAGCTGGCAGCCCGAGGCTTGGATGGGTACACTCTCGGCTGGGTGAGGAGCTGGCTGGAGGGCCGGGCTCAGAGAGTGGTGGTGAATGGAGTTAAATCCAGCTGGCGACCGGTCATGAGTGGTGTTCCCCAGGGGTCGGTGCTGGGGCCTGTCCTCTTCAATATCTCGATTGATGACCTGGATGAGGGCATCGAGTGCACCCTCAGTAAATTTGCGGATGACACCAAATTGGCTGGAAGTGTGGATCTGCCTGGGGGTAGCGAGGCCCTACAGAGGGACCTGGACAGGCTGGAGAGCTGGGCTGAAGCCAATGGGATGAGTTTCAACAAGGCCAAATGCTGGGTCCTGCACTTCGGCTACAACAACCCTAGGCGACGCTACAGGCTTGGGGCGGCGTGGCTGGAGGACTGCGTAGAGGAAATGGACCTGGGGGTATTGATTGATGCTCGGCTGAACAGGAGCCAGCAGTGTGCCCAGGTGGCCAAGAAGGCCAATGGCATCCTGGCTTGCATCAGAAACAGCGTTGCAAGCAGGAGCAGAGAGGTGATTGTTCCCCTATATTCAGCACTGGTGAGGCCGCACCTCCAGTACTGTGTCCAGTTTTGGGCCCCTCACTGCAAGAAAGACATGGAGGTCCTGGAACGTGTTCAAAGGAGGGCAACAAAGCTGGTGAGGGGTCTGGAACACAGGCCACATGAGGAGAGGCTGAAGGAGCTGGGAATGTTCAGCCTGGAGAAGAGGAGGCTCAGGGGAGACCTCGTTGCTCTCTGTAACTTCCTGAAGGGAGGTTGTAGTGAGCTGGGGGTCAGCCTCTTCTCTCGTGTCATTAGTGATAGGACCAGGGGGAATGGCTTCAAGCTACGGCAGGGGAGATTCAGGCTGGACATTAGGAAGTATTACTTTTCAGAAAGGGTGGTCAGGCACTGGAATGGACTGCCCAGGGAGGTGGTGGAATCACCGACCCTGGGGGTGTTCAAGGAAAGGCTGGATGTTGTGTTGAGGGACATGGTTTAGTGGGAGCTATTGGGAATAGGCGAACGGTTGGACTGGATGATCTTTTAGGTCTTTTCCAACCTTGGTGATTCTATGATTCTATGATTCTATGAACCTGGCTGGCATGTCTGCACTGTCAGCAGAAGCAGCCTGTGCGTGTCAGCTTCTGAGATACTGCTGAGGCATGGGGAATGGCAAAGGGATTCCTTATGCCACCTGGAGCTATTCTTGAGACTATTTTTTCCCTCACACCCTTCTATCCAAGAGAATTGCTGGCAGATTGTGATGGGGATTGAGCAATGTGGCTTTCTGTGGTACCATATGCTCTCTGCTCCTTAGCTCTCACTGCACTTTGAGCTTAAGTCTATCAACCTGTGATTGCACAAGTCACCGTGAAGGTGTCTCTGGCTGGTAATTTAATACCCTGAGTGCTAGGGAAACTTCATTATCATCAGCCATCAACTTCCAAATTTGGTTGACATGTGCAGTCAGTGTCCCCACTGAGCAGAAAAACTTACCTCTTGTAGTCCTTACAGCTGGCCTGGAACTTGCAGATTCTGTGCTCATGCAAGTTTTTCCTCATCTGTGTGTCTGATACTTTGTGGGAACATTGGAAAGGATTGCTGGCGCACAGTTGAGATCTTCCTGGCTGGGTATCCTGTATCTGACTCTGACTGGTACCAGAAGCTGTAGAGGAAGATAAGCACTCAGCAGCTTTTTGTGATTCAGGATCAACAATAAAAGGACTACATGGGACCTACATAAGAAAGTATGTCTTATGTAAGTAAGAAGACATGCTCCTGGAAGTAGGTGACAGCACTGCTCCCATAGCTATGGTCAGTTGCTTTGGAGGTGAAAGCCTAGGAGCAGGCTTCCTATGCTCTTTTTAATCACTCCCTCTTGTATGTATGCCTTCATAGAATCAATTTTACTCAAGACTAGGTATGTTGTTTTGGCCCCTAAAATGGCCTCTTTTCTCCTCTCGGCTCTAAAGCTACAAACTGGGTGGAAAATAAATAAAATATGTCAGCTTTTCTTCAGTAAGGAACCAAGATAGAAAATTTCAGGTCAAACTACTTCTGTCTGAGAAGATAGTTATTACCATTAAATCTGTGCTTTCCTAAATATTCCCAAGAGTTTGCTGTTTCTTCTTATCCCAGAACTGTTTTCTTGACACTGGATGCCAAGACCCTGAGAACTACAGTTCAGCCCAGTAGTGCAAATGCAAAACTTGGAGATTTCTTCAGTTCCAATAAATCATTGTAGGAGAGACTAGAGAAGAGAAAAAAATTATGTAATGATTCAAACATTAGAAGTATGCATATTTCAAAATACATACATCGTATGGCTTCTCAGACACCAGAGACTGTTGGAAAAGAATTTGGGATGGTTGTGCAAAATCAGGTGTCTGAAAATTTTGAGCGCATACTGTTCATGAAAGTACTGAAGTAGTCAGTCTCATAAAGCCAGACCATAAAAAGAAGTGATGTAGAATGGAAAGCTGTGTTCTTGGCAGGGATTGCTGTGCAGAGAAGCTTTTACAATCCAGATTGTCAAAAAAACACCCGTGTGCAATAAATATTACACGTTATCAGAAACCATTGCTCTTTGACTGAAACAGCTTAGTTAGGGGGTGAACAAGACAAAAATACTAAAGGTGCAAACAGCTAGCTATTAAGTTTCAGTTCAGCATTATTGAACGTGATCATCTGGGTTAGACTGAGAATCCCAGGTGGCATCTTGCCTGTGCTCTGTAGTCTGGCTGCTTTCATATTTCCACTAAAAGTACTGCATATTCAGTCCTGCTTCTGTGGCCTTGTGTTGGAAGCCCACAGCCTTCCTGTCTCAGTGCTCTTGGCTGTGCAGCTGCTGTTGTTCTGCTCCATCATGTCTAACCTCTCCAGTTCTGCAATGCCGTGACAAGCAGAGGCCTTGGGAGCTGCAGCTTCCCTTGGGTGCATGAAGAGAAAACAGGATTTCCCGTTGTGTCTCACTCCACCCCAACTACTTGAACGTCAAGGCAATGCTGCAGGTTTCGAGGCCCACCTGGCAGGAGAAAGTGGGTGCTTGCACATGCTGCTGGGTTGATTTGGTGGTACTGTAAAGGGATGTCTGGGACAGGTGGGGTATCCAGCTAGGCATCTGTGGGCTGGTGTGGAAGAGAATGTGTTTTGCTGGGGTTTCTGGTTCCATAAGGCTTGAGCAGCTGCACTTCTGCACCAGAGAGCCTCAAGGACTGCACAGCAGACTGCAGCTTTCTGTTCACACCTCCCACTGACTTATCCAATTCTGAGTGAAAAACTGAAATTAAGTTCATCTTTGTCTACTGCATGCCTCTGGTAGGAGACAATTGTTTGAAAAACATTTCTACTTACCCAATTAAATTATTGTTTCTCATTCAGAAATAGAAAGTGTGAAGCTAGCCAAGCAGAAGCAAAAAGCTGAAGCAAAGCGAAAGGCAACACCTGTTGTGGGAGACATGCAGCCACTGATGGAAGCCCTGCCTGAGCTCTCTGATCTGACCACAGGTATCAAGGGCAGGAAGCCATCCAAGAGGTATGTGTCTCTTAGTAATGGGCTGTGTTATTTCCCTTTTTCCTGCAAGTTAAAGCACCCTCCAGCTCAGATTGTAGCTACAAACAATACAAGCTTGGGGCCCATAGTTAGGAGAACAGGACCTCACCTACATTTCGCTTTTTTTTTTGTTACTCTTGCTGCAAGAAGCTTAAATATGCCTTCTGAATCCACATTTATGAGAACTGTATTGCTTAAAGGTGACTTGGCATGAGACAGACTGGGAGGGACTGGATATTCTGAATGGAAGGACTGATACACAAGCGTCCAGGGTGTAGTGCTGCTGAGCTCACCTGTGGATCTGCACTTGAGATGTGTTTTATAATGAAGGTTGTTCTCATCATTTTCAGGAAATGGCGTTTGCTGCAATAAAAGGAATCTTATATTTTATAGGAGGCTGTAGTATTTAAAGGGGACTAATTCTTGTTTTGCAGGTGGCAAATATGGGGTTGATGGCTTTCCCAAATTCACCTAACTGGTGTGACAGAGGGAAGCAGATCTGGAGAGCTAGGATTCAAAGCACAGTACTGCCTGCTGGGATTGTTTGCTCTCTTTCTGCATGAGCTGCTGACCATGATGCAGCCCGGTGTTCGGTCCTTCCAGACCTTCAGGCTTTCTCCCAAAGCAGTTCAAGCCCTTAGAGCCGAGATTTACTGTCTAGACAGACTCTCTGTTCACCCTGCTGGCTTGGAATATGATTTTGGATGAGAGTACAAGATGGTTTTTCTTTTCCCTTTATTGTACTGAAAGAGAAGAACTATTTTTGATCCTCTGACACTCACGCTTCAGCCATCCCAGCCAGCCTTAGGGTGTGTTCTGATTGTCCTTGTGTTTTTTCCTTTTTGGTGCAACACTGCCTGCTCAGTCAGTGCTGCAGATGCTTTTCCATCTCCCAGTGCAGAATAGAAGAGCTCTGCGTGGTGAACAAATGCTCGTACTTCTACTTACTCAGTAGGGGTTGGAACTGCAAACTTATTTTGATCATATTAAGCAAGCATTTGGATTAGAGGATAGCCAAGTATAAGGCTGCCTTGCAGAGCACCCTTTTCTTTTGTTGAATATCAAGGCTGAAATGACCGTAGAACCTCTTGTGAGCTGTGGGGTGCCCCAGAAAGAAACTCTGACCCAGCTACTACAGGGCGTGACTGAGTTGGCAGTGTGCTGTTCTTCTGGAAAGTCACCCTTCTAACAAACAGCAACTACGTATCTTGTATCTAAGCCTGGGAAAATATTTCCTTTCTGAACTTGGCTCTTAATTCTTTGAATAACATTTTTTTCAATCGGCCGTTCAGTCAATCTGTCCTCTCAGTGGAATGAGCAGCAAAAGTACAGACAGAGTTCTGCAAGGGAGTGGAGTGCTGGACCAAGGCTTAACCTGAGTGGAAACAGTTGGTTTTGACTTCTTTCTGCAATCATGTCCAACCATATATGGCATCTGACTTCAGGTTGTGTTCAGGAGTGGTTCTCCCTCCTTATCGTCCACCTTGGAGGTTAAGTCACGGCTGTATGGAGGGAATGGTTTGCAGAAAGCAAGTACAGGGGGAGAGAGAATGGGTTGACTGTTTCTTTTGGGCATTGCTTTCCCCAGAAGAAATTCACAGTGTCAGTGCAGATTGCAATTGTGGACCATCTCAGAAGATAAAGTAGAACTTGAAAGGAAGATGGTGAAGATTCTGGCCCAGCTTCTGCACAAGGGGTCGCTTAGTGATCTGAGGAGTCCTCAGCCTGGATAGGAGTTGGAGACAGAGAAGCTTGGGATATAATAGTCTATATTAGGTAAGTGTAATGCAGTTAGGAAATAATTCATCTCCATTGCGAGACATAAGGGACATCAAAAAAGTTAGCAAGTTGCAGATTCAGTGCAAACAGGAAGCTTTCTGTGCTGCACTGCTCCTTGCTGTGGAATATTGTGGTGCCTGGTTTAGGTATGACCTACAAAGCCAGTGAGCAGAGAGCTCTGGGAGGGTTGCTTCATGTTTATAAACTGCAGTCAGCTCAAAGTCCATGAGCTGTAAATGCTGGCACGGTTGTGGCCATACACTTTCCTTGTTCAGTGGGCTGGTGCACCGTGAAGCAGCCACAGAGGCTGCAAGCCCCTGCTCTGGTGAGCATGGATTGCTGTCCAACTTGTGAAGAGCTTTCTCTGTGATGCCATAAGCAATCCAGGCAAATGAGGATGGTGAACAGGAAACCATCCCCATGCCAGGTGGTTAATGAATACAAAGATTGTTCTGTCACTGTCTTGCTATACCACTGGATGCAGCAACATGACGCAAACTGCTCAAACCCTGTGGCTGTTTGCCTGCTCTTGCTGATTGCAGTTTCTCATCTGCTGACGGATCTGTTGCATAATGCTGGCTGTGCTAGGGTGACCTCAAAAGGGCCTTGAGAGTATGTGAGCAGTGTGAGGGCATCAACTGCCTGGCTCCTGGTCCTCGTGTAGGCTGGGTGCTGACTGATGTACATCCGCCTTGTTGGGGTGTGTCTGGTTTGTCGGGCAGCTTTGGCAGTATCCTCTGCTGGAGGGGAATTGAATAGCAGGAGAGCAGCCTACAGCAGCTTGTGTCCACCGGGATCTGAGGAAAAATAAAGTGTTCCAGGATGGGCAGAGGGAGAGATGAGGAGCAGGAGGTGATCAAGTGGTGAGAGATGATGAAGCCATGTAGGGTGAAGAGACATGGGGCAGGTAGGAAAGAGAAAAGAGAAAATGGAAAAATTAAAGAATGAAAGATTTAGGGTCAGAGAGGAAGATAGGTTTTTTCCCAGTATGCACTCTGAGAAGCAGGGAGAGTAATGCAGTCCTGCTCTGGCTGTGCTGGGAGCCTGGTGCGTAGGCTTAGCAGAGGATAAGACTCCTGCCCTCTTTCTTAGTTTTACTGTGTTGCCCGAGGCTCTATGTCATGGAATCCTTTCATAGGAGCAGCTGTAGGCACTGATATTGGAGTAATAAATACCTTGTGCTGTCCTTTACTAGTATACGTCTTCAGGCAGAGCCTTCCTTCTCTTCCAAAGTCTTATTCTTCCCTGAACTCAGATCTTCTTCATGCAGAAGCTTTATCCACCAGCTGCCACCATACCATTGATGTTCTAGTTCAGTGGCTCTTTCTTCCTGCTGTCCAGTTTTCCAATAATTTTCCTTCTTAGTGCACTTCAAGTCCCACTGCCATTTCTGCATGTCCCTTGGCTTTGTTGTAGGTTTCTGTTGCTGCTTGGCATTAGGCATCATGTGCTTTCAGCACCTGAGCAGGATGGGGTTACACCTCCTCAGACTTTGCTCAGCAATAGAAAATGGGTGCAGAGAGTGCATATCTGTACTTGCTGCTGTGCCTTAGCTGCACACGGTAGCTAACTTAAACTCACAAACCTTTGGTGAGGATGTATGCTCCCAAGGAGAAATGAATGCTACCATTTTTAAAATACATGTGCAGCCTTAAACACTGACAGTCCTGCAGCATGACTGGCAGCTCTCTTTCAATGCCTGTAATGGCTCATGCAAATGCTGAAGCTCTGCAGTGTTAACAAGGAACGTGAGATGTGGAGGGATGATACATGACCAGTGGGGAAGTTCCGTGGTATCTTTTCTCTAAGCAGTGGTATAGTTTTGAGCTAGAAGTTAGAGAGAAGCAGCAGATGATTCAAGTATGATCATCTGAAGATCATTCTAGGACTAAATGATACAGTTTTATTTATAAAAATAGTGCATTTACCTCCTGTCCATTTGGTCATGACTCCAGAGTTGTCATCAATGTGTGATGGAAGGAGTCTGCATCTCCATTACCATCTGGCTATGGAAAAAATTGCATTAAAAATGGGGTGGCCAGCAGGGAGAGGAAGGTGATTGTCCCCCTCTACTCAGCTCTTGTGAGGCCCCATCTGCAGTACTGTGTCCAGGCCTGGGGCCCCCAGTACAAGAAAGACACAGAACGAGTCCAGAGGAGGGCACTAAGATGATCAGAGGGCTGGAGCCCTACAAAAAAGATTGAGAGAACAGGTGTTGTTCAGCTTGGAGAAGAGAAGGCTCTGGGGAGACCTCATTGTAGCTTTCCGTACTTGAAAGCATATGAACAGGAGGGGGAATGACTGTTTACATGTGTTGATAGTGATAGGATAAGGGGGAATGGTTTTAAACTGAGACAGGGGAGGTTTAGGGTTATGTATTAGCAGGAAGTTTTTCACCCAGAGGGTGGTGAGGCACTGGAACATGTTGCCCAAGGAGGCTGTGGATGCCCCATTCCTGGAGGCATTCAGGGCCAGGCTGGATGTGGCTCTGGGCAGCCTGGGCTGCTGGTTGGTGACTCTGCACATAGCAGGGGGTTGGAACTGCATGAGCATCGTGGTCCTTTTCAACCCAGGCCATTCTATGATTCTAGGATTTCAGGACAATTACCTGTACTTCCTGGGAAGGCAGATGGAGAGCCACTGAACCCTTTCCATCTCAACAGCAATTGCTAAGTTACCTCTTCTCTGTTTTGTTTCTTCTCTCCACAGGCATGTAAAAGCAAAGGCAGAACCAGCAGATTTCTGTATGATGAAACAAGCTCAGAAACACAGGCTCTTGTAAGTTCCTGATTATCAGATGTTGGGTATTCTTGCTCAAAATCACAGAATGGTTGGGATTGGAAGGGACCTCTGGAGACCATCTGGTCCACCACTCTGCTCAGACAGAGTCACCTGGAGCCACTTGCTCAGCTGGCTTTTCAGTTTCTCCAAGGACGAAGATCACACAACCTCTCTGTGCAGCCAGTTCCCTTTACATGATGCAGGACATTGCAGGTGTCCTGTTCAGAACCCTACTAAAACTCAGTCAATTGTGGATGGATTCACTCCACTTTTACTTCTGTCTCATATAACATGTAAGAGAGCACAGGAAGCTGCATTTACTCCTGAAAGAGTTTGCTTTTCCTTTCTCACTGAAAAGAATCCTAGCTTTGGCCTCCTGGGTTTGATCTCTGGGGTTTCAGAACAAACCCATACTAAACATTCCTACTTGATTTAAGCCAAGTGAGTGTGCACAGCCAGGCTGGTGTGCCCTTTGCCTCAGCTTTCTGATTTGGAATTGCAGCACTCAGCTGTGGCTCGGTCTCCTAAGGCCCATGCACCTCTAGCTGATATGCTCCTGGAAAGCCTCCGGTGGTTGTGTAGGTGAGAATCTCTTTAACCTCTGCATAGCATGAGGTGCTACAGCTGCTCTGCTGAAGTACCTTTCGGATGTTAAGTAATAAGCCTTGCATCCCTTGTGGGGACAGCTGTGCATTGACATTTGCCAAACCTTTTCTTATGAAGTGAAACTCTAAGTACTTTTGAATAAGTCTTGGAATTTCACAAAAGTCTAGCAACTCTTTGTTCCTTAGTATAATCTGTTTGATATTTTATACGACCACAAGGCATTGGGAACTTCATTTCCCCTTAGTGCAACTCTTCTGGAGCTAGGCTCTGTGACTGTGCAGTGTTTGCTTTCTGTGATCGCTGCTTCTGGGGTGTCCCTGTCAGTTCTATGAAGTAGGAAGGGAACTAGCTGCCTGCTGCAAGCTGAAGAGTGCTCTGCTGATCTGATCTACAACAACATGGGAGGAAGGAAATGTGTGTCTGGCAGGGGAATGGGGCACTGAGTCTGCATGAGTGAGGAGAGACCACGATCGAGGTGACTTACATGAAAGCTCAATTTTTTATTTTTACACTCCTTGTGCTCTGTTCTTGTTCCTCCCTGCTTGATTGCTTTTTGGGAGAATATTTCCACAGCAACAGCTGTGACCAAGTATATAGAGGTAATTCTTTCATGCCCCCTACCAAGGTGTCTAACTAGTGGTGCACATAGGAAACCTGTATGTTTGAGCAATAAACAAGAGTCAGTGGATGAGCTTGCAAGTGCAGAATCTGCTTTTGTTCTCGTGTGGTCTGAAGTAGTCTTCATTCTGAGCACACTTACCAAATACTCCTGGTCTTTCTTGTTTTACTAGGGAGAAGCTCTAAAAAAATGCCAAGTGATAGTTGACACTAGCATGATTGTTTCTGTCTGTGGCATAAGATCAAGCTACTGGCTTCCACAGATCTGGCAGCAATTTGAGCATTGCCCTTGGGTAAACAAGGTCCATTTCTTGCACTGTTTCTTTCTGAGCTTTACACTGGAGATAATCCTGTCTGTACAGAAGCCTGTTGCTTTATGAGTTTTTTTGTTTTTTTTTTTTGTTTTTTATCTGCTCAGTTTCTTTTGCATGAACCAATTGAGTGTGGGGATTTTTTTTCTCTCCTCAGAGAAGAGGAAATGGCCCAGTTTCATGAGGTCATCGCAGATCCCAGATACAAAGCCCACCCCCTCTTGGTCATCAGTGAGCATCTCTCCAAGAGGCTAAGGCAGGAAGAAGGCAAGCCCCTCTAGGGCATCGGCTGGGACCAAGTGTGCACGATGAAGCTGGTGCACAGGCTCCAGACCACAAATAAGCACATCCTGAATGTGACCTATTAGCCACTTCAGTCCTTGGAAAAAGTCCAGCATATTATTCAACCCAACAGTCCTGCTTTCTGTCTACAGGAATAACGCAGTTCCCTCCTGATGGTGGTGGCTGCTCCTTGGCAAACAGCCTGCAGTGAGCAGGATGTTCTCTGAGATATTTGCACAAACCAACCTTCCTGTGAAAAGTCTTGACACTTTTTCTCTTTTGGTGGCACAATTCTTTAATTTGTGCCAGAGGTGATGTTTTTGTTGCCCCCTCCAATCCTTGCTGACTACTATGAAAAGAAGTTCTGTTGTGAATGTTGAAGATCACAAGCCCTAGAGCCCAGGATGCTGTTGTAGATCTGTGTAAGGACTGATTCTGCTGTTCAGAGCCATTGTTTTGTGTGAAGAATTTAGCTTTGGAATAAACGCACTTTCGTACAGTACTGAGTTTGTCTGGCTTTTGTTTTGATAAATACCAACTGAAAAATGAGCTTATTCTCGTCAATGGAAAAATGACTTAAGAGAACATTTTTTCTCTTGTGTTGTGTGCAGTGAACAGCAAGACTGCTGTTGCAGCATGTGACACCTATAATAATTACAGATTGTCTAAATCACAAACTTGCCTTCTTCCTGCCCTGGGAGCGTGTGCTTTCAGTAAGTGATGCATATCCCTTTTGGCATGTTTTGTGTTTCTTGCTTGGCCTGCCCTACGATAATCACAGAATCATAGAATCACTCAGCTTGGAAAAGACCTTAAAGATCATCGAGTCCAACCACAACCTAACCATACTACTGTAACTCTGACAACCCTCTGCTAAATCATGTTCCTGAGCACCACATCCAGATGGTTTTTAAATGCATCCAGGGATGGTGACTTAACCATCTCCCTGGGGACCCTATTCCAGTGCTTAACAACCCTTTCTGTAAACAAGTGTTTCCTGATATCCACCCTAAACTTACCCTGGTGCAACTTAAGGCCATTTCCCCTTGTCCTGTCACCAGTAAGAAGAGACCAACCCTGCTCCTGCTGTAAGCACCTTTCAGGTATTTGAAGAGAGCGGTAAGGTCTCCCCTCAGCCTCCTGTTCCCCAGACTAAACAGCCCCAGTTCCTACAGTCTTTCCTCATAGGCCATATTCTCCAAGCCCTTCCCCAGCCTTGTTGCCTTTCTTTGGACCTGCTCCAGCACCTCCAGGTCTTTTCTGTACTGAGGTGCCCAAAACTGAACACAGTACTTGAGGTGAGGCCTCACCAGTGCTGAGTACATGGGCAGGATGACTTCCCCAGTCCTGCTCACCATACCATTACTGATCCAAGCCAGGATGCCATTGGCCTTCTTTGCCACCTGGGTACTCTGCTGGCTCACGTTCAGCAGACTGTCCATAAGTACAAAAAGGTCCCTTTCCATCAGGCAGCTTTCCAGCCACTCCTCCCTGAGCCTGTAGGGTTGCCTGGGGTTGCTGTGACCAAAATTCAGGACCTGACACTTGGCCCTATTGAAACTCATACACTTGGCCCATCAATCCAGTCTATCCAGGTCCCTCTGTTAGTGCCTTTCTCCCCTCAGGCAGATCATCATTCCCTCCTAACTTGGTGTCGTCTGCAAATTTACTGATGGTGCACTCAATCCCCTTGTCAAGATCATTAATAAATATGCTAAATAGAAGTGGCTCCAGTACTGAGGCCTGGGGGACACCGCTCTTGACCGGACACCAACTGGATTTAACTCCACTGACACAGCTCTTTGGGGCTGGCCATCCAGTGTTTCACCCAGTGGAGTGTATGCCTGTCCAAACCATGGGCTGCCAGCTTCCCCACAAGAATGCTGGGGACAGCTTTACTGAAGTCCAGGTACACCACATAGACAGCCACTAAGTGGGTCACCTTATCTCAGAATGAAATCAGGCTTGTCAGACAGGATCTACCATTCATGAACCCTTGCTGACTGGGCCTGATCCCCTGGTTGACCTTTAATTGGTCCATGATGGCTCCTGAGATTATCCGTTCCATGATCTTCCTGGGCACCGAGGTGAGACTGATAGGATTGTAGCTACCAGGATCATCTTTCTGGCCCTTTTTGAAGATGGGTGTCACGTTTGTCAGTCAAATCGTTCAAAAACATTTGCCAGTCAAATCATCCGAAAACATTCAGATGGAGAGAGTAAAGTAGTGGAAATGGTTAACAAACTCAAACTCTGCTGCCATACTTAGCCATGTTTAGTTGGCACTAGAAACAGAGTGCATTTGCCAGATGCTAGGGCTAGAATTCCTGTTTGAATTGCTGGTATCTCAAGTATTGCCTATCTGCAGCTGGGCAGAAGGCTGGCCATCGCCTTTGTGATTTTTGACCTGTGCGTGCTTCTCAAACACCCTCAGCCTTTGTATTCCCTCCTCTTGTCTCTTCTCTTGAGTGAGATATTTGGCACAACTGTACATCCTCCTTGTGCCCCAGAATGTTATTGGGCAGGAAAGCTGAGGTTGGCTCAGCTTTCCAAGATGATCTACCTGCTGTGCCATGGCTTGTAGTGGGCAGGCTGTCTTCAGCTGCATAGAAGAAAGAAGATGTGAATAGCTAGGAAGGCTTGCTTCAGCCCATGGTCACACAGAGACAGCCTCAAGGGGACTGGACTTTAGGAATCTCAGGGAGGCTTGGTGCAGTGGGAGGAATGAGGGCAATGAGTACAGTCTGAGACCTGGTGAGAAATGAGCGTCTGGGCCAGTGGTGGTGGGGGTAGCTGCCAGACTTCCCTGGGCAGGAGATACTGCTAGGAAGAGGGTTCCTTCATAGCTTGGACCTTTGGCTGGGTTCTTAATGGAACATTCTTATCTCAAAGAAAGCCTGTTCCTAATCTGGGGTTGGGACTGTGAGAACAGAACCTGTTTCAACACGCAGTTGGGAAACAAAGGCTTTCTGAAGTGAAAGGACTTCTCCACAGTCCTTCAGCTCTTTCCCCATGCCTCCTTAAGTTTGGCATTGCCTGTGTTCTCCATTTCAGTCCCACTCCAGCCCCTAACTTCTCTCCTTCTCCTCTTCCCAGGGCAAAGTGTCTGTGTTTAGAAGTATCAGGCAAGAGCTGTGAGCGCTGAGCTTTGCTGGCCTCATGGCTGCCTGCCTCCTAAGCAAAGCAGCCCAGAGGAGACATAAGCTGCCTCTTCTCTACATGCCTCTGGCTGTGCCTTCCTGCAAGCCTGAGAGCATTTGGGAAACAGAGGGGGCTGGAAGAGGTTGCTTGGTGGGGGGAGTCTATGGGTGTGCTGGCACCCCAAATGAAGGGGGGGACCATGAGGATATGCTCTTCACAGGCAGCATGGGTTTGTTACCGTCAGTTGCCTAGGAGCATCAGAGCTAAGGAAAGCTGGTCCTTCCCTCTAACTCCTTTATTCCTGGTGCCTGCAATTTGTGCTGGAGAAGTCCTGAAGGTTATCCCTATGTAAAACTCCCAAACGGCACTGCCTTTTGAAACACAGAAAGTTTTCCAGTGTTTCTTAACCTAGAAAACCAGCCTTCCTATTTCAGATCAACTTCTGAGTAAGATCTGTAACATTTAAGAAAGCAACATGGGAGCTGCAGCTGACTCCTATCCAAGTTAGTGCCTAAAACAGCTATAATGGGAACTGGCAGGCATCTTTAATTATGCATGTCTAGTATGCTTTTTTTGATTCCTCTGGGCTGGCTCTGTTTAACAAAGGCAGTAATGCTTGCCTCTTAAACCCTGGCCATGCAGACCTTACTGCTGATGGTGCTTGTTAGAATGCCACTGTGCCACCTTTCCTCCTGCCAAGGTCTGGCAGAAGAGTCTTGGCAAGGGCCACAGGCAGGTGCTGGCCATGTCCCATCCTCCACCTCGTCACTCTGGGGCTGGTAGAGGACTGGCTGTGCTCTCCTCTCCTCTGCCAAATGTTTGCTCCTGTGTCAGTGCCATGAGGTTTGTGTTGTGGGCCCTATGGGCCTCAGGCAGCACACAGCAGCATCTGTAAGGGCTGTGGTGGTGTCAGAGCTCAAAATGTCTTCCCACCTTGTAGTTGGTTCCCACCTGCACTCTTTCCAGTCTCTCATTGTTTCTGTTAGTCCATACCAGACTTTGAGCTCTGAGAACCAGACTGGACAGAACAGGAGATGGCCCTGGGACAGGGATGCTGTATGCTAACAGCCATTCCTGCCCCCAGCCGACTCCAGATCCAAAGTGCTGGCCTGAAGCTGCTGGAGTGCTTTGTGACTCCCAACAGCATGTGTAAGACATGGTGTTTGTTTTGGCTGTAAGTTTACTGCTTACCCTCTATCTTGTAGCTAGCTGGATCCTGAGAAAGGTGGGATCTTTGTGCTTGAATGGAGGCTGAGAGAAGAAGGTGAAGACAATGGATGGACTGAGGTAGATGAAGATTGTCCCTCATGTTCTTGTCCTCCTGCTACTACAATTGAATAGGGCATTCAGTGTGCCTGGAGGCCAGGGGGCAGGAAAGAAGGCTTTTGTGACACACTGGAGTGCTTCTATTGCGTTTCTTCTGCGCTGTGCAGTTCTGCAGCTTTCTTTTTGTCTTGTGTTTTTACATAGTACATGACACATAAAGGAGTCCTGGCATCCTTGCAGGACCAGCTCATACAGCAGTTGACCTGTGCTCTCACACTTCTTTCTGCAGCCCTGGTGATGTGCTGCTCTGCACTCTCATGGAACAGTGAGAAAGTTGGGAGAGAAGCCATAGGCAGGCTTGTAAAATTCCATCCTGGGTCGTGTGCTGTGGGCATCTCTCCCCTCTGAGGTGCAGACTGTACTTCTCAGAGACCCAGCAGGAGCAGTGATTTTGTTTGGCAAACACTAGTTTCCTGGGCATTATCAATTTTGCACAGTGCTTGGCTGGCAGAACCATCGTTTTAGGGCCTCTCATGGCTTATTTGTACGTCCAGTCCAGACCAGTTTCCTCCTTGTTTTCTCCCTGGGGCAAAAACAAATTGAAATGGTATTAATTCCTGTCTGCCCAGGCACTTCTCTCTTCATAGGCAGTTCCAAGCAATTTTGTGTTGAATCAATGCTTGGATGGTCTGAACTGCAGTGTTGGGGCAGATCATTAGCTGGCAGAAGTGCTGGGTCCTGGGATAGATGTTGCTGTGGGTTGTGTGCCAAGGGACCGCTTTTTTCTTTCTCTGAAAAAATAAATCCCAACAGGAGTACATCCTATTTCAACCCATGCAGTTTTTGTTAGAAGAAGCCCAGCAGTTTGGGCTATGGAGTGGGTAAGGGATTTCTGCTTGCAAAACCAGATTGGAGCACTTGAGATCCTCAAAAAGCATCTCCAAGGCTGTTTGGTCTGTGTGGCTCTCCCAGGCCAGTATCAAAGCAGGGACTGTCCTGGCATCTCAGCCTTCAGGCTCAATGTGCCACGTGGCTGTATGTCTGGTACTTGCTCGGTGATTGAACGTGCAGGTCCCCTGGGTATTTATGAGCAAT